CTCCGCTCCTGGACTGAAAAATCAACCACTCCCTTCCTTTCATTATAAAACGTCCACCTTTACATTTGCTGCACTCACAGTCAGTCCTGATCGCATTTATTCACTATTGAACCACAAGAGTCTTATCCCCATCTCCTTTCATCAGCCCTGCCCAGACAGGTTGGAAACCACTCAGTGGAGATTCTACCTTCTCCCGCACCCTCAGGAACTAGACTCCCTCTTGAAAGCTTATAAGCCAGTCACTTCTTGTCTTTATAGAGCCTACCCATTTTGGGTAGCCAATGCCGAAGTTGCCCATCCCTGTTGACCCTGTGTACCGAGGGGTGGGAATGATCCTCGCTGTAAAGATTTGTTGCCTCTTTTGAGCGACTACATCCATAGGTGTAGGTCAAGTTCATCAGATTGTAGTGGGCTACTCTTTTTGTTTTTTTTCCCTCTTCTTTCTTCTTCTAGCCGAGTTCTGATCATCCAGCCATAGAAGCCAGGTCAGGTGGGTACTGTCTGCAAGTGTGGGTGTTCTTGTGCAGCTCCCCTCACTTCATATCAGCTGGATGCTTCACTTGCTGCTCTAGTCCTCTGTGGCTATGTCCCTGTCTCTGGGCCCAGGAGTCCAGAGTATGTCTTGCCATACTGCTGGCCGTCCAGGTCTCAACCTGGGTTGACAGGAGTCTATTGAACATGGTTGGACTTAGCTCACAACTTCATTGCTGTTTCTCCCCCATTTCCCCTTATCTGTGATCATTGTGGTCACCAGTAAGACCACATGCCTGCTCATGTATTCCCCTTGAGTCTCAGTCTTGGAAGGGGGTTTGTCTTGAGGAGACCTGACCCCGTGCCTTGATGGCTCCCAGGTGAACAGCATGCTTGTTCCTGTAGTAATCAGTCAGACTACCATTTTTATTTTTGATTTTTCCTGCTGGTCTTTCTTTCGAGGAGTATCTTCTGTTCTTCCGGCCACTCCAAGCTGGTCTGCTTGTCCTTTAAAGTAGAAATTTCCCACCTCAGAAGATTCTGGATAGGGGTCAGGATTCCACCTATGGTCTTATGCAGTGTAAAGGCTCTGGAGGAAGCCTCCTTCACTAGGCAAGTTCTAGCCCCATTTTAGGTATTCCAATCAGTTATATGCTGAAGACGGACTTACAAGCTTTCTATGGTGATGTTTCTGGCTATTCCTTTCTCTCCCCGTCAAGTGTCTATTTTACAATAGTAGGCAAGGGAAACCAAGACATGAGACGGTCAAGCATTTTAACATTATTTCCCCTCTTTTACCCATTCATACCATGCCTTAACCCCTGTATCCCAGTGCACTGTTGTTCCAAGGTTGTGCAAACATCATTATTCACTTAGCCCATGCACACCTGCCTAACTGTTCTCCCATCAGCCTTGTTCTTCCATTCCCCTCCCTCTTCTTGTGTATTGCTCCCTCCCCCCAGCATCCAAACTATCCTTTGTGTATTCCGTACTCTTGTGTTCCACCTTCCCTTCCTACCCCATAACCCTGGTAACCAGCAAATAATTTTTTTCCCCCCCTTTTAGTGTGGGTATTTTTTCTTAATCTTTTACAATAAGGGTCCTATGCAGTCTTTTTCCTTTTGTGACTGACTAATGCCACTCAGCATAATGTCCTCAAGGTTCATCCATGTTATACAGTGGCTTACTGCTTCCTTGTTATTGTTCAAGGTAGCCTTCCATTTTTTTTTGATGCTTTCTGCATAATTCAATAATTTGCCCAGAGAATTCTTGAATAACACAAGTTGAGGCTTGAATTTTTTCTTCAGTTCCCTCAGCTTGAGAAATGCTGAGCATGTTCTTCCATTTTGATTTTCTGACTCCAGGTCTTTGCACATTTCGTTATATTTGACTTTGTTTTCTGGAGCTGCCTTTGAACTTTTCTGTTCAGCTCTTATACCTCCTCATTTCTTCCATTTGCTTTAGCATCTCTATGCTAAAGAGCAAGTTTCAGAGACTTTTCTGACATCCATTATGGTCTTTTCCTTCTTACTTGTCTTCTTAATGACTTTTTGCTTTCTTCCTGTATGATGTTCTTGATGTCATCCCACAACTCTTCTGGTCTCTGGTCTTTAGTGTCCAGTGTATCAAATCTGTTCTTCAGATGATCTCTAAATTCAGGTGGGATATATTCAAGGTCATATTTTAGCTCTTGTGGACTTGTTTTCATTTTCTTATGCTTCAGTCTTAATTTGCATGTGAGCAGTTGATGGTCTGTTCCACAGTCTGCCCCTGGCCTTGTTTTGGCTGATGATATGGAGCTTTTCTACCGTCTCTTTCCACAGATGTAGTCAATTTGATTTCTGTGTATTCCATCTGATGAGGTCCATGTGTATAATCATCTTTTATGCTGTTTAAAAAAAGGAATTTGAAATGAACAGATCATTGGTCTTGCAGAATTCTATCATGTGCTCTCCAGCATCATTTCTATCACCAAGGACATATTTTCCAACTACTGATCCTTCCTCTTTGTTTCAAACCTTTGCATTCCAATCACCTGTGATTATCAATACATCTTGATTGCATGTTTGATCAATTTCATATTGAAGAAGTTGGTAGAATTCTTCTGTTTCATCTTTACCTGCTGTAGTGGTTGGTGTATAAATTTGAATAATAATGGTATTAACTGGTCTTCCCTGTAGGCACATGGATATTATCCTATCACAGACAGCGTTGTACCTCATGACTGATCTGGATATTTTCTTTCTGACGATGACTGTAATGCCATTTTTCTTCAATTTGTCATTCCCAGCATAGTAAACCATGTGATTGTTAAATTCCAAATGGCCAATGCTGTCCATTTTAGCTCACTAATGCTTAGGATATCGATGTTTATGTGTTCCATTTCATTTATACAATTTTCAGTATTCCTAGATTTATGCTTCATACATTCCATGTTCCGATTATTAATGAATATTTCTCTTCATTTTGAGTTCTGCCCCATTAGCAAATAAAGGTCCCGAGGGCTTTACTCCATTCACATCATCACGGTCAACTCTAGCTTGAGGAGGCAGCTCTTCCCCAAGTCGCATTCTGAGTGCCTTCCAACCTGAAGGACTCATTTTCCTGCACTATATCTGACAGTGTTTCACTGCTATTTATAAGGTTTTCAGTGACTAAATATTTGGAAGTAGTTCATCTTTCCTTTTTCCTAGATGTGTTCATCTGGAAGCTCATCTGAAACCTGTCCACTATGGGTGATCCTGTTAGTATTTAAAATACCCGTGGCATGGTTTCCAGAATCACAGTGACACACAAGCCACTACAGTACGACACACTGACAGATGAGTGATGGAACTTTAGTGGCTTTAGCATAACACACAGTTAGCGTCTGTCACTTATGAGGGTCCAGAGTCTGGGGCTGTTATAGTGGCTTCGACTCTTAGCTCTCATTGGCTGCACTCAGTCCCCTGGGCAGGCTGAGCCCCGGAACTGATGGTGAAATCCCATTCCTCCAGGGCTATTGTATGAGGGCTGCAGCTTCTAGCTGGCTGGAGGTTGCCCTCAGTTCCATGCCACATGGTTTCTCAACATGGCAACTGGTTTCATCATAACAGCAACGGAGAGCGTCGCTAGTAACTGTAGTTATGGAAGTGACACCCGTCTCCTTCCCAGATCCTGTGGGTAGAAGCACATCAGCATGCTCACCCCACACACATGGGAGGAGGTTACACAGTGTGTGAGCACAGGGGATGGGATCCTAGGTGTCCTATGGTCTGCCCCTCAAACTTCTTTATACTACCATTGGTAAGCATTTAGGAGTGCCTACTGTATGCCAGGCACTGTTCTGTAAAAACTGTATATTGCCTCATCCAATTGTATTTTAGGGCTCCTGGTATAGTGCTATAGGGTCAGCACTGGACTGAGAACCACAAGGTCAGCAGTTCAAACCCACCAGCTGCTCCTTGGAAACCCTGTACAGGGTCGCTGAGTCGGAACTGACTTGACAGCACTTAACAACAATAAGAAAATCCTCTTTTATGAGGTAGTTAACTATTTTACCCCCATTTTACTGTGAAGAAAGAAGACATAAAAGTAAGAAAGTGTAGGTGGTTCACTTGGATCGTCAGTGGTGGGTTGGTTTGGCTGCTGAACACCTCGTTGCCATTGCTCGTATGTACATGCTTTACAAAGTGGGCTCATGGCTCATTGCTCTGAATGCCCGGCTGTATCGGAAAGCACATGACAGCCTGTCTCTTCATTTGCAAAAGGTGCTCTCGTGGTAGAGATGTTTAAAATCTCTCAGAGCTGGATGATTCATTGATTCTTGTTTTGCTCTGTGAGCGATAATGTGTCAGCAAACATTTCCCTGTGTGATCTCTGGGAGTCCTAGACCCTTGGCAGCACGACCCTTGCAGGTGTGGCCCCGTGCCTGTTACTGCCCTCCAGACCACCTGCACCAGCCCCAAAGCCCTTTAATTCAGGCAGGTTTCTAAATAAGTGGGCATTTGTATCAAGTTTAAGGTCCTTGCATTTGATGGGTGACTCCTAGGGCTGGAGCACTGATGTCCTGTGGGGGCCAGGCCTGCTCCGGGGGGGGGGGGGGCGCCTAGGACTGCAGGTGAACCTTCTGAAGGGAGGGGCCTAGGGCTGCAGGTTAACCTGCTGCACTGGGGTTGCCTAGGACTCTAGGTGAACCTGCTGCAGGGGAGGGCCTAGGGCTGCTGGTGAACCTGCTGCGGGGGGTGGGGGTTGGGCCTAGGGCTGCAGGTGGGGGCCAGGCCTGCTGTAGGCCAGGCCTCCTGCGGACTTCGGCCTGATGCAAACATGTGCCCTGTGGGGCTCTGTGGTCCTTCCTGACTCTTGTGACTGATGTGTGCGTTTCATTTCCTGCTTAAATTTATGTAGCAGAGCATGTGACAGCTCTGCATGGCGTAGACACTCACCTGAGGTGAGTGCAGTGTTGAGCAGCGTCAGCATTTGATTCCAGTGCAGCTGGATGTGGGGGCGGGAAACCGCTTACAGCTCACTCTGCCTGGAGTGACATGGCTTCCTGAGGGTCACGTCCAGGTTATGACGGTGCATGTCTTTCCCCTTTGTTTTTCAGTCCTACTTGGTCGTCAGCGACAAGTCCCGTGACGCAGCTGCCATTCTTGTGTCCAAGTGAGTTGTAGGCCACCCACTCACCATGCAGAGTGAGGTGGGCAGTGGGGTCATATGGGGGCAGTGGGGGGGGACTCATGGTTTCAGAGGAGATGACATCTGTCCGAGTGCATCATGGCCATGTTGTGTGTGGTGGCCCTGTGCAGGTCTTCCTCCCTGTGTGCTAGGTGTGTGCATGTATCGTGTTGTGTGCATGGATTTGCCATGTGTATACACGTACGTGTGTGTCATTTGTGTTTGTGGTGTATGTGTGTATACATGTTGTGTGTGTGTGCATGCTGGGTGTATGGTGTGCTGCTTCACACACGGAGATGGGTGTGGTTCTGCTCTGCCCTTGTAAAAGCGGGATTGTGAACATTTGCATGGTCTTACCAATACCGTGGGATGGTTGGAGCGCTCCTAATTGTTATTAAAGACAGCACTGTTGTGAGTGTTCTGCATCGAACTCTGTGCCCATCTGGTGCCCCCAGGATGGATTCCCAGAAGTGGAAAGAGCTTTTCAGCTATACAAGGGTTTGAAATGTGATGACTGGGAAGATTGAGCTGATTGAAAGTCATCTTTCCTCCATGCCTACCAACAACACTGGGTGTGACCTTACAAAAATGTTTGACAAACTTGTTAAATAGGACATTGCACTGCTTTTATTATTTGTTTATGATTTTTAATATCAGCAGTCCTGTGAGGGTTTGGGAGCCCATGGGGCAGGGAGATGAAACCCCAAACCTTTGTCCTGGGTGTCCTGCCAGTTAGAAAGCTGGTGAGATATCTCGTCGCCACCTTGTGGTCAGATGAGCAGGTGCTGCCCTTGTTTGTGGGACCCTGGGCAGAGGGCTTTTGCCCTCTTGTTGCTCATGTTGGTTTCAGAGTGCTCAAAGAGAGAGTGTGTTGTCACTGCCAAGGTCTCAGGGGTGCTGAGAGTGCACCTCTGTCCCAGACACGTGTGGGCTCTTGACTTGCAGTAGTTATTGGTCATTTCTCTGGTTGCGGCTGTTCCAAGTGAGGTCACGGCTATGAAGCACGTGTTGTTCATATGCACTTGTGTTCCCGTTCTCACAGAACTGCCTGTGCCCCTGATGTGGGCCCATGGCCAGTGGATTCTCTGGTTGTCACTAGAGCATGGGGAAGGCAATTGTGGACCTTTAATATCAGTTGGTGGCATTCTAGACAGTTTCTCCCACTAGGAAAGTGACAAGGAGTACTGGGAGTGTGGTGGGCTATGAGTTGGACTCTAGCCACACGGTCAACGGTTGGAATCCACCAGCTGATCTGTGGGCGAAAGACGAGGCTTTCTGTTGCTGTAAAGATTCACAGCCTCGGAAACCCTGTACAAGGTCACTGTGAGTTGGAGCCGACTCCGTGGCCCATCAACCACCACCAGGAAAGTTGATAGTTCCTTGTGAGTGTGACTTTGTAGAAACTCTTCATTAGAAAGATATGCCTTTATTCTTATATCCGTTCACCATACTTACTTAATCTGAATGCTGAGCAAATAATCTGAGAAGCTTGACTGTTATGAAGAAGAACACAGCATCAGGGTTGGAGAAAAGGCTCATCAACAACCTGTGATATGCAGATGATACAGCCTTCCTGCTGAAAGCAAAGGGGACTAGGAGCACTTACTGAGGTAGATCCAAGACAGTAGCCTTCAGTACAGATTATACCTCAATGTAAAGAAAACGAAAGGTCTCACAACTGGACCAATAAGCAACAGCATGATAAATGGAGAAAAGATTGATGCTTTCAAGGATCTCATTTTACTTGGATCCACAATCCACAACCACTGAAACAGCAAATTTGCACAAAATACCTCTTTAAAGATGTGACTTTGAGAACTAAAGTGTGCCTGACTCAAGCGATCGTATTTTTAGTCACCTCCTATGCATGTGAAAGTTGGACAGTGAATAAGGAAGACCATAGAAGAACTGATGCCTTTGAGTTTTGGTGTTGGAGGAGGATGTTAAATATACCTTGGACTTATAGAAGAACAAACAGTCTGTCTTAGAAGAAGTACAGTTAGGATGCGCCTTAGGTGGGAGACTGGTAAGACTGTCTCACGGACTTTGGACATGTTATCAGGAGGGACCAGTTCTTGGTAAAGCAGAGGGTTCTGGTGTGGCGCTGCAGGAGAGTGCACTGGACTGCAAGGTCGTCTGACAGCTGCTCCTCGGAAACCCTCTAGAGGGTCGCTATGGGTCAGAACCTGACTCCACGGCACGTAACAACAGCATCGAGTAGAGGATCGGTGAAAAGGAGAAAGCCCCCTAGTGAGATGATGGACAAAGTGGGTCCAACGATGGGCTTAAAGGTAACAGCACTTGTGAGGAGGGTGCAGGACTGGAGAGTAGTCTATGTGGAGTCTCTCTGAGTCAGAACCAATTCAGTGGCACCTAACATTGTGATTCATAACTACAATTTTGTAAGTAGCGTTTTTCTTTTCATTATAAAAGCAAGATGTGTTCAGTTTAGGAAAGTTGGGAAGTGACTGAATCTGATGTGTGCACGTTGGTCGTTTCCGCCCTCTGACAACAGTGCGTGTTGAGGTGTGAACTGCCTTCGGTGTAGGGGGTAGGTGTGAACTGCCTTCGGTGTAG